ATAAAATGGTCTTTTAAATTTTTATTATGCCTTAGAAAAAAAGGTTATTATAATTTTGCTTGGCACAAGACAAAATTAAAATTGGAGACTTTTTAATTTTAAATAATTTAATAATTTGTATATTTATAATTTATTTAAGTTGTCCATAATGTAGAAAATAGACATATGCAAATAAATATTTTGAGCACCTAAATAAAAAATTGCAGGCCTTCTTGTTTGAAAAACCTTTTGAAAGGGGACAAATCATAAATATTTTGTGCTGAGATGTTGGAGTTGCTTTTTTAAAATTTTAAAACCAAGATTGACACTTCCATCATTCTTGCCGTGCTGGGGGGACACCTCCAATTTCTTCAAGTCAAACCTTAAGTACATAATAAGTTTTGATTTAAAAGTTTTGACCATAAATATTTTTAATATAGTTTATTAAAACTAATTCTAATTTCAAAATGATTATCTACTTTTGTGACAACACAATAACATACACCATATTCATGATATATAATTTTCATTTATTTAAATAAAAACGACGAGTCTTTATTCTGTTATACTTTTTTTGAGTGTAGCATAGATTTGACCAGAACACCATCTCTCTTGATATTTTATCGTCTCGATTTACTCTCGAGGCTAGGGGTTCAAACTCATTTTCTTTTAGCATTTCTCATCCATTAGGGTTTATTCATCGTCAAATAAACAATTTAATCATCGTCATTTATTTAAATAAAAACGACAAGTCTTTATGTTATACTTTCACCGGGTATAGCATAGATTTGACCAGAACAAACACCATCTCTCTCGATATATATCTTACGGTCTCGTTTTACTCTTGACGTTATAGGTTCAAACTCATTTTCTTTTAGCATTTCTCATCTATTAGGGTTTATTTATTATTGTCAAATAAACAATTTAATACATCAATTAAGAAAATATATATTTTATTTTTACCATAGTCAACAATCAATAGTAATTAGTCAAACAAAGTAAGATTTAGTACTTCAATTTTTATTTTATTTTCACATTTTTATTGTGTTAATTAATATAGTACTACAATATTAATATATATATATCTTATATATAAAAGAAAGAAACGCTGGACAACCCTAAAAAATCCTAATGGTATTTCTATAATTATTTATTTTTAATATTTTTGCTCTACTAATTTATAACTATAATTTTTAACAATTATTAAAATTAAAACTAACCCGTGAAGAATCCTACTACTTATGTAATTATTTATTTTGAATATTTTTTTGACTATAATTTTCAAAAATTATTGATCTTCTAATTTTCATATATCAATATATCTATTAAGAGATAAAACTATAAATTCAATATGAATAATACTATATTATTAAATTTTATTATATATTAGTATATTATATTTTCTTATTATGTATTAAATTGATTATTATTTTTTCACTATTTAAATATATAATATCCCGTGCATCGCAAGGGCCGGGGGAAAAATGCTAGTATATATATATAATAACAAATAAAATTTCAGATAATATAATTAATTAATTAATTATGTGCTCCACACCTACCTCAAATATTAGGACAACCATCATCATTTCTCATCGAAAAATAAATAAATAAATAAATAGTTTTTTTTTAATTTTTTTAATTACACCCTAAAAACAGAAAGTCAGAAATGACCAAGAATTGCAAAATAAGATCCCTCACAGCTGAAAATCTCCCCACAGAGATATTCTTGGCAATAAAGACAGATAAAGAATCCATAAATGCATTTGCATAAATGAGGAAATTCTCTTTGGTTAAAACTTTTACTCCCCTCCCTCTCTCTCTCTCTCTCTCTCTCTCTCTCTCTCTCGCCAATATATACATACACATATATACAAAGTAGTATCAATATTGTATCTATATATTAAATCCACTTTAAACTCGTCTGCTATATTTTCTTGTCTTCTCTCTCACCTGACCCTTTTATAGTTTTTCCCAATTTTCTGTAATTTTGTTGTTGTACTTTTATATATACATATACATACACATATACATATAAAATATATATATATATATATGATATATGATGAGTTGTTTTTAAGCTTTTGGTTCAGAAGCAACATCCAAAACGTCATCCTTTTAGGTCACAGTGCTATTTTTACTAGTGTTCCTATTTTCTTCTTACAAGTTGATAAACTTTCTCTCCCAGAATCATTCTTTGTTTTTTCCCTTACCCCCAAAACACACACACTGTGTGTTTTCTCTCTCTACATCTCTCTCTATCTATCTTTCTTTTTTTCTGCTTTTGCTGCAGCAAGCACCTTAGCTTCAAACCTAGCCAAAAAAACTTTCACTCCCACCAAGGTTTGCCTTGTTTTCTTTTTGCCTAGTGTGGTAAAGACTGCATTTTTATCTCTTTTTTCTGTGTGTGTGTGTTTTTTTTTCTTGGGCTGTGATCTCAGCTGTTTGATGATGATGATGAGTTCTGGGTTTTGATGACAACTTAGAAAGAGAAATAGAGGAGAGAGAATTCATTTCATTCACTCACTTGAGAAGGGATTTGGTGCTGCATTCTTGGTTCTTTCTTCCTGCAAAAAACCAAAAAAAAAAAACAAAAAAAAAATGTCTGCAGAAAAGTGTGATTCAATTATAAAGGAAGCCCTCAAGATTCTTTGTTGCAGTAATGGATGGTGTTATGGAATTTTCTGGGGTTTTCATCAGACTAATTCTTTGTGAGTTCTCTCTCTCTCTCTCTCTCTCTCTTCATGTTTTAGTTTTTCATAGTATAGGGTTTTCTAATTTTCTATATGATTCCTTCTTCATAGTAAAGATTTGAGTGTCTTCAAATATCTATTGGTTTGTCAACTGTGTTCAATCTGGTTAATTTTTTTTCTTGCAAAAAAACCCACTGTCTTAAAAACAGTTACTTTTTCATCCAGATGTAAGTTTTCTTGTGATTAAATCAGAAATTATGTATAAAGAGTTTTCCTTTTTCTTTTCCCTTTTCTGTGTGATGATGATTGATGTCTAGAAAAGCATATTCCATTTTTCTTTTTCTTTTTTTGCTGGATTAATTTATGGCCCTAATTTAATCTTGATTATAAGTTCTTGAATTATTTATTTATTAGTAATAAAAATTTAAACTTTTGTGCATGCAGATTATTGACAGTAAAAGACACCTACTATGAAGAACAAATGGCTCTTCTCATTGATAACTTGCTTCTTCAAGTACATGTTGTGGGAGGAGGGTAAGCCATATATATATATATATATATATATATATATATATATATATATATATATATATATATATATATATATATATATATAAAATCTTTTTTTTTTTCGTCGAAATCCATAATATTCGTTTATCTGCGAAAAATAGGAAAGTAACGAATTTCTAAATCGACAAGTTTTGAATTTTTGTGGCAGGGTAATCGGACAAGTTGCGTTTGCGAAAAACCACCAATGGATCCATTCAGATGCATATAATCAAAGCCTAAATTCTTTAGTATCATTCGAAAGTCTCGAGTTTTTGCAGGTATATATAATAAATTTTCGACTAATTATCGCCCGAGTTAAATTTAGAAATTTTACTTAGTAAAAACTGCGTCTAATATCGAAAAAACCGTTTATATATACGTCTTTCAACAGGATGATGATTCGGAGTTCAATTCCCAATTCTCTATGGGGATAAAGGTGCCTATTTAATTTACGCATTCGTTTTAGTTTCATTTCGTGTGTTCGTTTTTTCGACAATCTTTAATTTTTTAACCACATTTGTTCGTAGTATTTATTATCGAAATTTTGTTTTTTGCAGACTATCGCTCTAATCTCAATCGAACCTTGGGGCGTTGTACAATTTGGATCAACTCACAAGGTACTCTTTTGTGAACATCATAAGTATATATATATATATATATATATATATATATATAAGCACACATTGTCATTTTTCTTACATTTTTTAGTTCCCATCTGCCAAATGCTCAACAGAATCCCGAGACGAAAGAATTTGTCAGTCAAGTGAAAAGGGTTTTCGGAGGAACAGACGAAATTCAAGAAACGAGGCTCTTACCAAGCGAACCTTCTCCTTTGTTCGATAGCCGTTTTCTTGATTCGGAAATGGCGTTTTGTTCGTTACCACCATTTCCTTCCTCCACTTCAGATAATTTACTTACCGAGAATCCAATAGAAAAGTTCCTTTTAGATTCTGAAAATTTCTTCGACTGTTCGGCGAATCAAACGCTTAGCAATAACAGCGATTGCTCTGTTCTAACATCTTCTTGGCCTCATTTTACGACATACGGGCTCGAGACAAATGATTGTAATAACAACGCTCAAAGACCATCGTCGTCAAGTGGCTTATTATCAACGTTGGACGACTTTTTTCAAGAAAGCGATTTCGCTGATGTCATCCCCAAACACGGCCTGAAAAACGATGACGACCCTTTTCAATGGTTTTCTCCTCAACCACATGCAAACGGGCTTGTTCCATTATCGAGAAATAGCTCCCCGGTTTTCATTGAAGAGAATATTCCGACTAATTCAATGCAGAGTTCGGTGACAGACGCCTTGAGAACTAATACCGACGCTAATAAAAGTGCGGGCCCGTTTGAGATTGGCAAGCTTTTCAATAAGCCGCTCGGTTGGAACGAGACTTTGATTCCCGTCGATGATTTGAAATTTGTCGGACCGAAAAACCGCCCCTCGAACAGCTTATTTACCAAAATAGGCCTGGACCGGATTCTGGACGGTATTGCTAGTGACAATAGATACGAGGATAGATCTTCGTATTCTTCTATTGCTAAAAGAAGAAAAATCGACAATGGAGTGAAGATCGAAGGCGTTGTTCATAGTTTTGATGGAAGAATGAGCAGCATTGAAGAAGTCAACTGTGAAGGCTCGCGTAATAGTAACAGCTGTACAGATGCGGGACCCACTAGTTCGTCGAGGAAGCTTGACGAACAAGCAAAACCCTCGAAGAAAAAGGCTAAAGCAGGTTCAAAACCGAGGCCTAAAGATCGTCAAATGATCCAAGATAGGCTTGCTGAACTGAGGGAGCTCATTCCGAACGGTGAAAAGGTGAGTACAATTCTTACGTAAATTAATATGTTAAGAATAATTATAATAGTTTCGTGACATGGTAAATTGCTGACGTGGCAGATGAGCATCGACCGTTTGTTGGAGCGGACCATTAAGCATATGAACTTCATGCAGAGTCTTCAAAGGCATACGGTGAGTTTGAAACAACTCGATAAGACGAAGGCGAAACAGAGTAACGAAGTTACGTGGGCGTGTGAAGTTGGTGACCAAACCATGGTTTGTCCGCTTATAGTCGAGGACTTAACTACCCCTGGTCAAATGCTTATCGAGGTAAGACATGAATCGCGTCGTAGTTTTTCCAATCCTGGTCTCGTATAACCGTTTTTTTTAAATATCTTTTTTTTTTTTCCGTGCAGATGCTTTGTGAAGAACAAGGTTTCTTTTTAGAGATTGTTGATGTAATACGAGGTTTCGGATTGATTGTCCTAAAGGGAGTGATGGAAGTTCGCGAAACGAACAAGATATGGGCTCACTTCATGGTAGAGGCTGAGGTAGAAATTACTGAACATTTTAAAAAATAAAATAAAAATCTTTAGGTGTTGTATATATATTTGACCGAAGTTTTTAAATATTTTTGTTCTGCAGGGAAATCGGCTTGTGACACGTCACGAAATATTTTCGTCGCTAATTCAGCTATTGCAAATGAGCGGACAAACTTCAGCGACAAATACAAGTAGCGACGGATTCAGTAACGTTATTAGCTCAGCCATGCCTTCTTCAAACAACTACCAACCTTCGTTTCCCGTCAACTTTGCCGATGCTATTCAATGTGCAAATTTGTGACGACTAACGACGGTCAATAAAAAGTAAAATGTATACGAAAAAGAATAGTGCATTGGAGCCAAAATGCTCGTTTCGAAGCTGATAACGATTTGCTTAAATTGTGTGGTAGGTAGAATTTATATATATATGTTTTTTCGATTAGGGTTTTTTCGGTGTGTATCGTATTTGTAACAAGAGAACAATTGTTACCTTATATGTTTTCTTCATAGTTGATAATAGGGTAGGCTCATTCAATATTGAAGCTGACGTGTCGAGTAGTTATAGGTTAACTTCTGAATTTGTTTTAGTTCTTCCCTTTTGAGTTTCTTGGTTGTGTATAAAAATACTTTTATTGATTGTGTGATTTACCAGTATAAATATTTCTTCCGAGAAAACGGAGGCCAAACTTCGTTTTTTTTTTCCAAGCAAATGTATTGTCATTCCTTACATTCAAATACATGTTTCGAGAGAAAAACATATATTTGATCGACAAACATAATAATACACCATAAACTCAGAACGCATACTAATTTGCATTAAACATTTCGGGTGCATTTGGATGGGGATGGATTTGAAGGAGCGATTTCAAATTAAATCCGTAATAATAAATCCATAGAGGGCCCGTTTGGATTGAGTAATTTGAAAACTCCCAATACAATGAACCGAAAAACAAATACAAAAAAGATTGAAGGAAATAAAGATCGAACTTCTATCATTAAAGTCGATCAATCACTTTAAATTAGAGCCGCCTCGCCGAAGTTTGATTACCACGGATCGATGCTAAGTCCTCTACCTTAACCTTAATTGCATCATCGCACACACCAATGTCACAAACATAACGAGACAAATAGAAAGTAGTTGCTGCTGTAAGAACAATTGGGTTCGAGAAGAATATTCGAAGGGGCAAAGAAAGAATCACAGAAGTGGGGCCCGCTACAGCAGACATCACTTGACCGCTGCTGCCTCCCGAAGAAGAATCTGTCCCGGCAAGGACAAGCAATCCCGTTTTACAGTAGAGAGCAAAGTCCTCACAGTTATTACTGAACAAATCATAGTCCCCAAATAATCCATTCCAAAGCAAATACATAGCTCTGTAAAACACCACATCCATCGAGTCGGATTTTGCAGCAGTGCAGCCGCCTCGGATTTTAGCGCTATAAGCTAGGAAACTAACTCCGTACTCAAAACGGTGCAAAGATCCATTTTGAAGGAAGCAATTCAGGCAAGAGATAATGACTCCACTCGTTGAGCAACAGCTGTCTGGAAAATTCAGACAGGCAATCGGTACAGTCGAAACGGAGGACGATGAGAAACTCGAACCCTGGTCAAGAGTGAAGTGCACCACTTTGTTGTCACCGACGTAGATGCCTGAAATACAATGTAGAATGAAAAACCATCAGCTTCATTTTCCTTCGGGAGCTATTTTTTGTTCTCTCTCTCCAAGAAAACACTTAGGGTGCATTTGGATGGAGGGATTTCAGATCCATAATAACAAATCCCCCGGACTTGTTTGGATTGAGGGATTTGGAGATGGATTTCAAATCCCCACCCCTCTTTTTTAGTTGTTTTTTGGAGCAATAGTGGTGGATTTCAAATGACTCCAAAATTGGATTCATTTCAAATCCATTCCCGAAATCAAATCCCTCCATCCAAATAGACCCTAAAATTATGGAAGAATCATTTTCACAAACACTTGGGGGGTGCATTTGAATTGAAGGGTTTGAAAATCTTGTACACAAAAGACAAATTTTAAAGAAAATGTGCCCGAAAAATAGGAATGCATTAACGAAAATGATTACAGAAATGGAGAAAAGGGAAAGAAGAATAAAGAAAGAAAGAAAGAAACCGTGATGAGTGTAGATGAAGAGATTCCTCCATGTGTAGATATGGTCCCCGATTTTCAAATCGCTTCTCTTCACTCTGTGTGAGATTAATCCCATCTTTTCCTTCTTTTAGTTTTTTTTTTTAATTTAAATTAGGAGTATCTATATATATATATATATATATAGAACCTTTTTATTCTTCACCATTCTCCTTGGAAGAAGAAGAAGAAAAGAAGGAAGCAGAAATCGAGGAGGCACAGAGATATTCCCACTCAACAGTCGAGAGGAAGAAGAAAGGATTTTTCTGAAATATAAAAATGGAAAAATTTCAGTTTTAATGAAGAGAGCGCGAAACTGATCGTTTATAATTATAATTTCGCCCATCAAATTATAATTATAAATTCTTTACCCAACATAATTGGCTTAATCCCATTTTGCACCATTGAAATATAATGTTTTGGCACTTTGCACCCTCAACAAAATTAATAGCACTTAGCATCCTCGAAACACAATAAATCATGCATAATGCATCTTGGATTATTTTTTAAACCTTAGAGCAACTCCAATGGGGGAATCAAATGGAGTATTAAATGATAAAATTTCCATTTTGATTCCCAAAACTCAAAATTTCTTCTCCAGCGGAAGCACCAAAAGGATAGTTTTTTTGATACTTTATCTCCTAGAGGTGCAAAAATGCACCCAAAAAAACCAAGTATCAAATATTCCTAGAAATTAGGAACTACAATTTCAACGTAAAAACAATAATTTTTCTAACAAATTCCTATGGAATAGGGACCAAATATATCTTTTTTAATTTATGTTTAATAGTTAATACTTAATACATTTTTTAAAATAAAATACTTTATTTGGTTCCTACGAGTTGGAGTATATAAGTTTTTTCGAAGTACCAAAGTATTATTTCAAGCATCAATTAATGGTTTAGATGTCTCATTTTAATATCTACCATTGGAGTTGCTCTTATGAAGGTAATTTAATATTTTTATTCGTATTTTTTTAAAATGTCAAATGTCAATTTTTTTTATAATTATCAATCATTTTCAAACTACAAAATGCAAAAATAAAAATAAATCTCATCCATGTATTAAAATTCTAATTTTCTTTTTTACAAAAATCATAAATCCTTCAACTATTTTGTTATCAAGTTATTTAAAATTTATATTTTCTTCCAAATATTTTCACTAATTAGAGCAACTCCAATCCATTGTTATCAAATGGGTTATCTAATACTCATTTGATAACCAGTATTATACTTTGATATCTCTATACAACTAGTGAACTCCAACGACAAGTATCAAAAAATAATTATCAAACAAATTTATGATTATTTATATATTATTTATTTTTTAATCCATTTTAAATAATCACACAAAACTGATTTTTCTGGTAAACTATCCACAAAATCAATATTAATCACGTTTTTACCTTTTGAAAATAGAAAAAAAAAATTATATATACATAGAGACTTTTTTTTTTCCTTGGAACTTTATTGAAGCTCTAGAGAAAAAAAAATTGTGTTGAGATTTTTCTGAGATTTTTTTTCTAGAGGAAGTTTGTTGAATAGGGTAGATAATTTAATTTTATCTCGTTGAGATTTTTACGTAAAGAAAAGAAAACTCAATTTTGTTGAGGTTTTTCTTTTTTCATGTGCTCCTATTTTTTAGAAGAATATTTGATAATTATTTATTTGGGAAGTATTTTTACTTCCGATTGATGAGTTATCAAAATAGAACTCTATTTTAATAACCCCATTGTAGGAAAGAGTTTTTAGATTTGGGGAGTCAAATGGAGGTTAATGTGTTTGATAACTCGTTTAATAACCTCGTTGGAGTTGCTCTTACAATAAAGATCCATCAATCGAATAATTTAGTGAGAAAAGTTTGTTTTTCTTTTTGAGATTATAATTTTTTTTCCAGATTAAATTCATAGTGAGAATATTTTTTTTTGTACGCTCGAATTTACGTTGGAGATAGAAGATAACAATTTAAGTTGTTATTTTGCACACCGAGCAAAAAAAGAACCAATAAAAATTGAAATTATCCTCATCGACTTTTAAATATTCAATCCATGGAGCATTGTGAATAATGATTAATTATATTTTGAGGGTACAAAGTGTTATTAATTTTCTTCAAGAGTACAAAGTGTCCAAATACTACATTTCAGATGTGCAAAGTGGAATTAAACCAACTTATTTTGATCAATGAGAAATAAAGGGAAATAATATAGAACCATCAATTAATTGTTATTTGTAAGACTTCTCAACTCGTATGATAAAACTATCATCCATGCTAATTTCAAATTTGTAAAAAAATACAATTGAAGTAAAGAGAGTTTTAAAACCTAATGTATAGGTTTATTCTAACCTCCTGAAATAAATATACTTTCTCAATCGATGTACAAGTTTATAGTTATTTTTATGCTACACCTGATGAAGATTACATTAGATTGCTTTTTACCACTGATCTACACACACCAACATAGATACATGTGAGTTTGTGTGTATATGAATGATAAATATCTATCAAATGTAATTTACCCGATGTAATATACTATAAACTCGGGTTTATTCTAACCAATGTAGATACTTGTCACACGAATGCTTAGAAGATATTTTAATAATTTTGGGATGTTTGTTTTTATTTCCAAACCCAATTTCCAGGTTTATACTATTCATAAAACCGAGATCATGTTTGGTTGATAATTTTATCAAGAAAATTCCATTTTTTCTTATCAAATTTTTATTGAAAATACACTATTCATACTTTTTTCAATTTTTAAATCTACTAAAACTTACTAACCTATATATATTTTATTCCACAAACTCATTTCTCTCTCATTCTATTCATCACTCATCATTAATATTTACACGCTCTCCTCTCATTTCTTTTTTATCATTAATATCTACACTCTCTCTCCTCCCAGTTTTCCTCTCTAATAATAATAATAATAATAATAATAATAATAATAATAATAATAATAATAATAATAATCATAATCACCATCATCATCCTCAATCATTATATTCTACTTTTGCACGTACTTTCATAGAGAAAATTCACCACAACCAAACATATTCCCATTTCTACACCTACATAAAACAAAAAATACCACTTCGTCCAAACATATTCTCATTTCTACACAAAAACCAATACATCTACTTTTTCCATCAAAAATTTTGAAAATTAGAAATTTCCATTGAAAATATAACCAAACGTCCCCTTTACTTTTATTCCCCTTTTCCAATTTGGAAAAGGTTTAGATATTTAACGATTTTTCTTTGTTTTTTGTGCCTTCCAGTTCCAGATAGAATGGGGGATAAATGTATGTTAATAAACGAGAGAGGAACTTTTATTAGTATTTAGAAATACTTCCAAGGGTTATTTGAAATTTGAATTTTCTGTTTTTATTTTTTCCTTTTTTTCGTCAAGGGGCCATTTCGATATTTTACAACTCCAATTTTTTAGTTATCGTTACTTTGAGGGGTTAAATGTTATTTCATTTATAAGAGGAGTTCTTTTGCAATTTAACCTTATCAAACAGGTTTTTGTAAAAAAAATTTAATCATAAAATGTATATAGAAGAAGAGTAAATGACACTTACCTCCCCTGAGGTTATATGTAATTACTGTTAGACCCCTTATGAATTGGAAAATTACACATACATCTATTTGGATTTTATATTAACTAACACTTCACCCATTTGACGATAGACTTTTTAAAACTCTATTCTTACCCTTGACAAAATATTGTTTAAATTACACATATATATACATCTATTTGGACTTTTTATTGAGTGTATAAATCACACTCAATATACATTAACTTTTACTTGGAAGTCGAGACTTAGATTTTCATGAAAGAAAAATAATAAAAAAGAAAAAAAAAAGTTGCAAGTAAAGAAAAAAAATCAAAAGATTTCATATATCTCTCTTATCCGAGCTCCATATATCATGATTTCAGTGGCATTGAAAAAGCTATGTCAAAAGATTACAACTCTTATCTCATAAAACCTGCACAAACTCAGACTCTAACACGACCAAAAATGAATCCACAACTGGCCAAAGTGCACAAATAGAGCTTGGACAACCGTATGAAAAGTGACCTAAACACTCAGACTGCGAGTTGATGGTTGTAGAATATGGAAGAGAAAATAGTGATAAAAATAAAAATATAGGAGATATAAAATAATCGTGAGTAAAAAAGTGTAGGTGAACTAGGGTTTGTAATGAAATGGTGGAATACGAATATAACAATTTCAAGGGAAGTCTCACTCGTTGAAAGAGAAATTTGGCAAGCGTAAAAGTCTTTCAAGTCAATTGAGTTTAGTTTTGAGGGAAGTATTGCGTATTATCCAAAAAATTATGAAGGATGTGTATATGTTAAGACCTCTTAATTATTAATTATACCTAATTAATAAAAGAAGGTAGTGGTTATAATATAATTCAACAATAAAATAATGAGAGAGAAAATAATGCATGGGGGTATTCTATTGAAGAATCTGAATCATTGAAAAGTGAACGAGCTTTCTTCATTCAAAATAAAAAAAATAACAAAAAAGAAACCTCTATTTCAAACCAAAGTTGTTACTATTTTCCTTCTTTTCCCAACTATCCAATCACGTGGAGCGTAGACCTCACCTTCTTCATTACTTGTTCTTATAAGATTAGGTAGAAAGGCTGCGATCTAATACCTAATTATCTGTTTACTTCAATCAATAAAATATTTCTACTATTTATATATC